TCAAAGCAAGTATAATGGGTGAAATCTGAATGGGAGGAAACTATGCGGGCTTGGAGGTTTAGGATGGAGTAATATTACCCAGCATTGTGCTCTAGGTTAATTAAATAAATCCCAGTCTCTTGGTGGTGATTTGGGTATACAGCTGGTTTAGGACTGACTGCTGCTTAACTCAAAGATAAATCAATAGTAAATATTAATACCCACAACATATATGGTTATAATAAGATGCATTATGGGAAAGAATATGTGCAGCAGAGACTAGTTATACAACTGACATCTGTCTGTCAAAACAGAGACCATTCAAACCACACCCCTGAGCAAGTGAACTCTTCCCTCTCAGGGATCCACCTGCCTCTGGCCCCCCAGCGCTGGGATTAAAGGCGTGTGCCACCATATTCTGAAAGTTCCACACCTTGACAGTGATTTCTGTTTGTTGTTAGTTGGTCTGAAAGGTCTCATGTATACAAGGCCAGCCTTAGTAACCTTGAAACAGGGTCTCATATAGCCCAGGATGGCCTAAAGCTTGTCATGTAGTCCAGATTGCCCTTGAATACCTGATCTAACCTGGTTTTCCTGCCTTCACCTCTAGAATGCTGGGATTCAGGTGTATGCCACCACACCCAGTTTATGAGGTCTGGGGCTTCCTGCATACTAGGCCAGCCCCTACCAATTGAGCTTAATATCTAGATCAGAGCAATTTGTAACGTACCAATAATTATGCACAGTGTGATCGATTTACATAAATATTCCTGGCGGGGATGGTGAGATGGCTCAGTGGTTAAGGACACACAGCACTGCTCTTTCAGAGGCCCCAAATTCAGTTCCCAGCACCCATATCAGGTCACATCTGCCTGTGACTGTAGCTCTAGGTGATATGTCACCCTGTCCTAGACACACACAGAAATGCACACACATAATTTAAATTTTAAAAAGATCTATCTTGGAAAACGGTCCGTGCATATTTTAAAGTAATTATAAACTATAATTATTACTATTCTCTTGTGTCAAGTAAAGTTCATTGGCTTGTGTATTTAAATTTATAGACTTACGTACTTGGTTTGCTTTCATAAATTACTGATAGGGATATAGTAAAAATCTTCACTGTGATGCTATATTCCGCTCTTCTCCTTTCAGTCACTCCACTCTAACCCCTGTTGAAGATACAGGGCCTCTCACATGCTAGGCAAGCATTCTCCCACTGGGCTACACTCCAAGTCCCTGGTTTTATAATTTCTTGCTTGTGCTTTCTTTTCTTTTACTGTTAAATGTATTTGTTTACAGAGCTAAGGTAACATATAGAGTAATGAGTTTCATTATGGAATTTCCATACATATATATCTTATTCATATCCCATTGTTTTCCCTTAGCCCATCAGGCCCCTCTGGCTGTCTTGTCACCTCTCCCTGTCTTGTCACCCTTCCTGTTTTCATGTCACATGCATTCTACTATAATGTCTGTCTGTCTATCATCTATCTACCTACCTCCCTACCAATCATCTATCTATCCATCCATCTATCCATCCATCTTCCTGTGGTTCCCCCTTTCTAAGATCTCTTCCCTTCATAGTCCTCCACTTTTACAGACACACACACACACACACACACACACACACAGAGAGAGAGAGAGAGAGAGAGAGAGAGAGAGAGAATCTGCGAGTCTGGCTTATTTCACTTTAATGATCTCTGTTTCTATCCATTTCCTGAAACTGTAACAGTTTTGTTTCCCTCTCTCTCTCTTTCCTTTTTTCTTTTCTTTTTTGGTTTTTCTAGACAGGGTTTTTATATGTAGCCTTGGTTGTCCTGGACTCACTTTTGTAGACCAGGCTGGCCTTGAACTCACAGAGATCCGCCTGTCTCTGCCTCCTGAGTGCTAGGATTACAGGTGTGTACCACCTCGCCCAGCAGTTTCTTTTCTTTATGTCTGAATATGTACATGTGTACAACATTTTCTTTATCTACTTGAAATAACCATGAATGTGTGGGGTTGAGAGACGTTTCATTGGGTAAGGAGTTCTTTCCAGAGGCTCCAGCATTCCTGTCAGTGGACTCACACCTGCCTATACCTCCAATGCCAGGAGATCCCATGACCTCTTCTGGACTGTAGGGGTAACTATACATATACCCCTCATACACACACACACACAATTTTTTAATGTAATAAAAACCAAATTGTTAAGAAAAATAAACATCAACAGGAAAACATGAAGTACAAGTACCTCTATAGCATATTGATATAAAGCTTTTCAGCTAAAAGCCAAGAGCGGTGCGGCTGGGTCATAGTTCTTTCTTCAACTGTTGAAGGGCCTCTATGCTGACTGTCATAGTGGTTACACTAGTCTGTGCCAGCACTGGCACTGGCATGGAGTTGAAGCAGCAAGGATGGCTGTGTGACCCCTTGGAGGCTCACAGGAAAAGGATGAGGAAGGTGAGCAACAAACAGAAGAGCCTCATGGCTTCAGGCATGGTAAAGCCCAGAATGGCCTAGAAGAGCTATTGCGTGGGGTATGGGTTCCCTGAATAATCAAAATAGAGTTGCCAAATGCCATTCCAATGCAGGTCAGTCCCTGATCCAGGGACACTAACTGTGGTGGCCCCAGCACCAACAAACTTGGCTTGATACGTCAATGTCCTGGGAGACAGCTCTGGTCTGGAGCTCCCACCTGGACACCTGGAGCGGGGAGGTGCTGTAGAAGGCTGTTTAGATGGATGATCTTTTCAGAAGGGAGGCAGACACAGGCCTGATAAGACCCTTGCTACAGAAACAAATCAGAAACTGGAGAAAAGAGCAGTGCCTTGGTACTCTGCTTCTTTTCCATCTCCCAGCTTTAGACCGTTGTCTCTGGGAATTAACTTTCAATCGGTAAAATTTTGGTTCAACCATCCTTCCCTTTAGGAACAGGAATGTTTACTTTATGCCCTGTCTGATGGAAGGATGTAAATATATATAAGCTCAGAGCTAAGAGACTGAAATTTTTAAGTGTTGGGATTGCTGAAAACTATGGGGACTTTAAAGCTAGACTGGGTGCATTTTGTAACATGGTCATGAGACTATGTGGACAAGGAGTGGAAGGGTATGGCTTAAAGGGTATGGCTTTGGGTGTCTGGTTGACAAGGGGTGGAGCTGTGAGCATTACCTGTCAATTTGCCAAGATCTAGAATCAGCTGGAATAGAGCCCTCCTGGCATGCTGTAGGGGGTTTTGCTGATTACTGTTAATTAAAGGGGGAAGACCCACTCACTGTAGATGCTGCCATCCCTGGCTGGGATTACGGGCTGTATAAAGGGAGAAGGGGAACTGAGCTGCAGCCTGCATTTCTCCCCACCCCCTGCTCCTTGAACATGGATGTGATATAACCACTGCCTTAAGCTCATGATGTCTTGATTTCTCCACCATGTGGCTCTTGTCAGGTCCAAGGGAAACTCCATTTCCCCAAGTTCTGGCAGTTGGACAAAAATCAGCATTCTCAGGAACTTGTGAAGCAGGTTCCTGTCCACTAAAAGGAACCATTTCCTTTATTACTGCCAGAAGGGACGAATGGATGCCTGTGGTCAACATGCTGGCCTCCAGGCTCCCTCGGTTTCACAAGTACCTGTCAAACACATCAAAGTCCACACCAGCATCCTGGCCCTTCTCACCCACTCCCCTAAACTTCTCCAACTCCTAGGCTTCCCTTTCCCCATTCTCCTTATAACCCTGCTATCCCAGCTATGCTCTCTGTCTTCATTTTCCTTTCTCCCCCTTTCTCTCCCTCTCTGCTCCTGCTTCTCTGCTGGCCATGTTCAGTCTACTTCTTTATCTCTCTGCTCTGGCATTTCTCTCCTTCCTATCTACAATAAACACCTTAACCTTGCCATGGAGCAGTCAGTCGTCAGTTTATGCAGCTCTAACTTGACCTGTGAACCAAAACAAATCCTTTTCCTCTTAAGCTGTCTTTATCAGAGAATTTTATCACAGCATATTTAAAAAAAAAAAAACTAAACTTTTGCCTTTTTATTTCTTCATATTTTCAAGTCCTGAAAAACTTATAGTATAAACTGATTCTACTGTTCCTGGAAGCATTCCAAAGACATATGTATTATATTGGCATTGTCTATCTGAAATATAATAACTTTGTTTGGGAAACATTTCTGGCTTTTATTTACTATGTTAACGCACACACATACTGGATAAACACTGAATACTCTTACAATAACCGCAATGTAAACAATTTAGTGTACGCTTACGTAATACTCTTAATAATTAATTTTAAATTGAGAGATAGGCTTGGTTTCTATGTAAAACCTAATCAATAGACTATGACTAAGATGAAGTGTTCAGGAAGAGATAATATTTAATGTTTCAGGAAAAGATAGTTAACAGGTTTTTTTTTCATTTACAAGTTCAGAAGAACTTAATCACAAACACAAAAATAAATAAGAAAAAAATACCAAACAGACAAAAATATAATTCTCAAAATGTTGAGGCTGAGAGTTGTGTTAGAATGTTATGAAATTTGAGTTGTAGGGAAAAGGTAGATCTAAGGCTCACATATATCCAAATAATACACACTCACACACACAGATATATTTTCTTTAGATAGTTTTGCAGCTGTCAGAGGACAAATAGGTCTAACAAGATAGCTTAAAAAAACAATTCCGTTCTTGGAAAACCTTGTTTCAACTAACCAAAAAAAAAAAAAAAACCAATTCCACTTATGTCTCCAGAAAGTAGTAAGTCCCCATACTCTATGGAAGAACTGGTTTCGATGCTCATGTGGCACTTGGAATTGAACCCAGGAATTTCCACAAACTTGACAACTGCTCTAGCACCAAGCTTTGTAACTGGTCTCTTCTAGCTTTTTGAGACACGGTTTTACTAAGCTGACCAGGCTGGCTTGAGCTGTTATCCTCCTGCTTCAGCCACACAAGTACCTGGGATTATGGGTCAGCACCACCAAGCCCAACAACACTTCCTTCTTAATTGCCACTTCTCTAGATGTATTTAAGAGACAGGCACGCCAGGTCCAGAGGCACATAACTACAGTTTCAGCTTTATTTGGAATGCTGAGTGAGGCAGGAGTATTATTTGGGTGTTAAAGGGCAGCTTGGGTAACACAATGAGACACGCAGATCCTGACAGAGGTTACAGTATAGCCATATAGGAAAACAGGGTGTGAATACCAGCCTGGAAAATAAGGAAAGTCATATTCCACTTTGGCTTGGCCTCATTTAGTTACTCTGGCAAGACACTCTCAAGGGCTTCGTTTCCTCAAAAGTCACAGTATTGGGCTCAAGCTCTACCAGGGGAACTGTAAGGTACCTGGCTCACTATGTTTCAGAGACAAACATTTACAGTTCAAGGATAGCTTCCTAATTTATTTTAAATCAAAATAACCTGACCAGCATCATAATTGGTTAGCATTTCAATACTGAACCTAGAAAAATATAATACAATATTAAAGTCAAAATCAAAAGAGCATTTGACAGATTTCTTTTAAGTGTGTTTGGATGACAATAACTCCATAACAATTGTGTACTTAGAATTTGTGAATATGTCACAAGTTTCACTAGTCAAAACGATTCTGAGTTTTCTCAGGATACATGTTAAGAAAGAGATAATTCTTTCCCCATTCACAGTTAAATTATATACATATTTCATAATATTTTACAAAAAAAATGCCCAAACCTAAGTACAGTTTAGCTTAGATTCCTTCTTGATTTGTTTTTTTATAGCAGACATGCTAATTTCATTTTGAACATGATATGCCAAATATCCGGAGCTTCCAGGAATGAAGTCATGTAATTCTCCAAGGAATTTCTCCAAGGCATCAATTGATATATAACCTATGAAAATAAGAAGAAATAGATACTTTTGAAATCCTATCATGCTATTTGGTTTTCAGTGTCTTTGACTTATAAAATTTTATAGAACTTTTTAAAAGAGAACTAAAAAGAAAAGCAAACTGGTGAGAAGATTCTCTGAGGACAACCTTAAACGCCTGACTTCCTGCTTTTACCTCTGCAGTGCTGAGGTTCCACCATGCTCCATTATGAGGTGCTGAAGACTGGACCCAGGGCTTCGTACCTGCTAGGCCAGCACTCTACCAACTGAGCTAGATCCTCAGCCCTTAACACTGGCTTTTTTTTTTTTTTTTTTTTTTTTTTTTTTACAAAATAATAGGTTTTATCATGACCTTTCCACTCAAATATATCATTGTATTTAGTCATATTTGTCTCCTCTCTTCTACCCATCTCCCCTCCTCATTGTCCTACCTTTTTTTTCGAGACAGATTTCACACTTTAACCTAGGCTAGACTGGAGTTCACTTGTAGCCCAGGCTGGCCTAAAGCTTTGAGCAATCCTCCGCTTCAGCCTCCTAAGTTCTAGGACAATAGGTGTCAAACAGCACACTTAACTTTTTCTTTCACTTTTGAAAGTTACAGACATTTGATAAACAACTTTGATTACTGAGCATGCAATGTCCATATTGGGGCTGGAACATTAAAGTACCTAAACCAAAATGACTGGGCATAACTGGCGTAGTCTGTAACCACTTAGAACTCTCTCTCCAACTACCCAACAGCACAGCACGTCTGCTCTATAGAGCAGACAGCATTTCTAAGCACTGTAAAACTGGGGTAATGTTCTTTAGGAAAAAATTAATAGTAAAGTCAGTACTGCTGTCAGTGAATAATAGTTATGGGTATAATTTTGATGTCATTAATAATCTGAAATAGATATGGATGCCTAAAAGGAAACCCTGTTTAAATGCAGAGAGCTTAAGCAAGGATTCAAATATCTTAAGCAGTAACATCATAATAATTGATTTCCATTTGAATGATTATATTTTACATTTAATACAAATATTTGTGGTTTACACTAAAACTAAAATTGCAATCTAAAAGTAAACACTGAAAACAACTTTTTAGAAGATCTCAAGTATGAATTTAAAAGTACCATCAGTGCCAACAGAATTATGCATATCACTTATTTTAGTGACAGTCTATTCACAGTTAAAAATTATGGATCCAGCCATAGAAAGTTAGTCTCTTTAATCTATTTCAGTTGTGGTCCTCTCCATTTGGGTTTTCACTCTTACCTTTTCTCGGGTTGCATTTCTGCCTTGATACCTACAGGGACACCTTCCCTCACACTTACACTACGTGAGGTTTCTAAAGGCATTCAGAAAATAAATGCAAAATTAATAGCAAATATAATCTCACAAGAGGAAGTGTGGATCATGATGCTTCTCAGCTTCCATCCAGTTTTTGGCTTGTAACTCTTCACTAAAGGTCTAAACTATAATTTCTCTCCCACAGACAGCTCACAGAAACTCTATCATCCCCCCACACACACACACCTTTCTGTGAACAAAGTTTCCCAGAAACACCTTCTGCAAGGCTGATTAACTGGCCAGAAATCTTATCGCAGAGAAGGCCCCATGTTGCAGCCTATTTACTGACACTCCTCTCCTACCTTTGAGTGCAACCTGGCATCCTTATGACCGGTTGGTAAACCTTTCAGGATATATCACCTTAACCTAGCAGGTTAAGCTTCCATCAACCTCAAGGCTAAGAACATCACAGACAGCACCTGAGGCCTGTGACAGAGTGTCCCTGTTCTGCTGTAACTACCTACCTGGTGTTTCCACCAATAAACTTTAAAAGTATCTCATTTATGATTTTCTTTGTTCTGTTACTATAAAACATCATCAAACTGTTACCACACTGGAATATGGGATTTGGTGTAACCTGAATCTGTGTTTCTAGACCATGTTCATTTACAGTATCTAGAAAACTATCTCTTATCCCATTTTTTTTTTTTACTTTGTCATCATAAATTATCTAACTGATGGTAGACCATAAGGCTCTTCATTTTTGCGTGAGTCAGAATCAACTACCATTCTCTTATTGATCACAAGTTTTTGTCTAATTTTTAACTTCATTTTCCTTTTCTGGGGAAAACTGTTTCCTTTAATGGTAGAAAATATGGTCATTTGGTGTAGCTTATTAGCTGAATAATAAGTGTATTATTACACTTATTATTAATAATAAGTAATTATTATTATTAATTAATAAGTAATAATTATTATTATTAATAATTAATAATAATGTATGCTTAGCATACATGAGGCCCTGGGTGTGATTCCCACTAAGTACCCTTTACCGCACCCCAATCCTCCTCTCTGTCTCAGGGCGGAGGGAGGGTGGATGAGTGTGTATTCACCTGAGAAATGAGTTAACCTGGTGCACGGTGTCAAAAACTAGAAAAAAAAAAAAAATACTATGGTCAGCCTAGTGTAAATCAGGTATTTAGTCCAAAGAAACTCTTGGGACTACAGACAAAGCTTGTAATTTATATGATGCCTATTTCTGGGAGGTGAGATGGCTCAGTGAATAAAGTCTCTGTCTCTCTCTTTCTCTCTCTATAGCCTTGGCTTGTCCTGGGACTTGTTCTGTTAGACCAGGCTGGCCTTGAACTCGAAGATCTGCCTGCCTCTGCCTCCTGAATGCTGGGATACTCTCTTATTACTTTTGGACCTCTTCCTTGGAGAGAAACAAGCTACTATACTTTGAATAGATTTTATGAAAATGACTATGTAGGAAGATGGAGAAATGGCTCTGTGATTAAAGATACTGACTGCTCTTGCAGAGGACCCAGGTTTGGTTCTCAGCTCCTACATGGTGGCTCACAACTGCCTATAACTCAAGTTTCAGGACTTCAGGCGCCCTCCTCCATCAGAGGAAAGGGGAAGCTTCATGTTATGTGGTTGGTGAATAGCCCACAGAAAGGGCCCAGCTGTCTCTGGCTCTACAAGAATGCCTGATCCTAGGCATGTTTGAGGCCCTGGGCTCAACCTTCAGCACTACAAACACAAAAACAAAAGAACCGATGCCTGAATGTCAGAAATACATTGCGACTGTCTAGGCCAGCAGCAGCAAGCACCCCTCCCACCTACAGACCCCTTTCTTGGCACAGACAATATGAAGCCCACGCGTGGTCCGTTGTGCAGGTTACTGTTTTGGCAGATGAATGGCAACGCTGCTATTGCAGGGTAAACGAAGGGGCTCTGCTTGGTAAAGCTTTGTTCTTCCCCGTCCCCTTGCTTTTTCCCTAGCAGAAATTAATCTCTAATCATTACCTGTTACCATGTTGTTCACCGGATAGTTCTGAAGAGGGAGGTACACCTGCTTTTCTACATCCGGAGTCCTTAGTAAATGATTTTCTGCACTATAAAAGTGAGGCAGACAGAAAGTCATATTTATATTTGATTTTTTAGTTTATATTACAAATGAGAACTTATTCTAGACAATGTATATAATAATTTAATACTTCTTTAATCAGGTTTTTTCTTACTTGGTAAAAAATGTTAATTGTGAGCTTTCTTTTGTGAGACGAAGAAAAACCGGGGCCCAGATAGCCATTTCTAGTTTTCTTAGCTACTTCACAAATAAACAGTTATTGAACATATAGGCCCTCTCATCTATAATTAGATAACATAAAACTAGGAATATATTTTAGCCTTAGGGCTTTTTTCCTAGTATGCATGAGCCTGGATTCAATCCCCAGCACTGTCAAAAATGTAAAATAATTTATTATATACATACATAACCAACACATCTATGTATGCACATATGAAATCTTAAATATGCCAAAGAAAAGCACAATAGAATCTATAAATGGTCACAGGACTTATGTTCTTCAGCAGTCAAATAACTGAGACTCTATTAACTAGTACAATACTCCGTACTTCAGCATAACAAATAAAGAAAACCATGAAAGGTTGGGAAAACCATGAAATACAATGAGATTTTGAAGTAACTTGTGAGCTAAGTAAATAAGGTTTCCCTTAGATCATGGGCCTGCCTGCCTGTTTAAGAACAGATAGCAGCCTAGAAGCAATCAGACCACACCTCCCCCTATCATCTGTCCTTTGCGGTAACAACCTGAGAAGCTCTGCACTATGACACGAGCCCAGACTACTCCCCTTTGTTGTAGCAAATAAGATGGAGCCATAGATCAAACAACTCTGACGCCTACTGTGAAACTGGCTCTGAGCTATGGTTCCGCACCCCTTCAAATAAAGGATTTCCACAATCTTGGTCTCTTGCTCATCCTCCTGTATTACATGTTGTCGCGGACAGCCACCTCTTACTTACTTGAAACTCTCCAGGTTTATGGAAAAGCACCTTGCCCGTTAAGGTCCTGTGTGTTGATACCTGTGTCTCCGACACCTGCTGTCCCTCAAGTCCTCATGCTGCCTCTGCTGTAAGGTTCTGTCCCTCCTGCCTTCCCACCTCAAGCTGAGCATGCCCATTGTGGTTGTGAGGCTCTCTCCTGAGAAAGCTCACTGCTGCAGGGCACATGCCAGATTACTCCTTTACTGAGTTTATAACTTTGCTTTCTAACAATTTAATCCTAGGACTAAATTATAACATTAAATAAGGTTTTCAATCTTATGGGAAAGTATTAATAGAATGTTAAATACAAAGTGAAGGGACTTCAAGAAGACTTCACCTCTACAAATCATGTGTCTCATTGTAAGACCAGAGAGACATATAGCAATGAGCGGTAGGATTCTTCCTAATTTAAATTCCCTTTATTCTTCTCTATATGTCTTATTTTCATGAATTAAATGGATTTCCCTTTTTAAAATTTTGGCGTTTTTGAAATCGGGTCTTATGAAGCCCAGGTTGGCCTCAAACTAGCTGCATAGCTGAAGACAACTTTGAACGTCTCGCCCTGCCTTCATGTCCAGGGTGCTATGATTACACGCAGACATTGGCGTGCCTAGTTTATGCAGCGCTAGGGGTGAAACCCAGAGTGCCATGCACACCAGACAATCACTCTAACAACTGAGCGATGTGCCCAGCCTGTTACATTTATTTTAAAATAATTTAAAACAACAAAAACCTAAAATGCATGTGACTTTAGAATGTGAGGACTATCTGGGGAAAGGAAAATAGCACAGCGGTTAAAAGTTTGGACTCCAGATCTCCTAGACATGGTTTCAAATTTAGCTCTACTTTCTGAATAAAACTGAGTAAAGTATTTAGCTCTCCGGATGACTTCTCAATTGTAAAATGAATGGGGCTGACTGCATATCTAAGGTGAGAATCCAATGAAATACGGTGAACTGCTGTCTCACAGACATCTTGTACTTAGCAATTGTTCATTCAGAGCATACCACTTAGTATGTGCTTACTATTGCAGAGTAATGCTTCATACATGCATATAGTTCAGGGTATATTTTATTTATGCTCATAGTGCACCATCTGGTGGCTCCACAAAGCAGAGCCTACAGAGGTACTGGAGGTCTATAGCATAACTCGACAGGGCTGCTGAACAAGAAAGCACAGTGCTATCACCACAGGTGCAGGACTTACACAAAAGTTCAAGCCAGCAAAATCTCAGCCTGTGTAAGGAGGGGCTCGTGAAGCTCAGCCTTACCAAGAAGCTGCTGGCTATGTGTAGCTGCTATATGACGGAGAGTAAGTTGTCTTCAGGGATGCAGCCCCTGAAAGGCTGCTCGTGCTCCAGGAGATGCTATATACCCAAGCACATGAAGGAGAACTATGCAAGCCCAGTATTTAGGAGGCAGAGGCAGATGGAGAATCTCTGCAAGCTTGAAGCCAACCAGGTCTACATAGTGAGCTCCAGGATGGCCAAGACTATACGAAGAGAGGATACATGAAACTGGAGGAAGGAGGCTAAAGAATTAGAGGGAAGGGGATGGGGTGAATTTGATCAAAAGGCATTAATGCATTATGAAATTCCCAAAAAAAAAAAAAGAAAAAAGAAAATCAGCCAGGTAGTGGTGGCACACGCCTGTAATCCCAGGACTCAGGAGACAGAGGCAGGTGGATCTCTGTGAGTCTGAGGTCTGCCTGATCTATAAAGTGAGTTCCAGGACAGCCAGGGTTACACAGAGAGACCCTGTGTCAAAAAACCTAGATAGATAAAGGGATAGGTAGATAGATAGATAAAGGAAAACTGAATAAAAAGCAAAAACCTATATTATATTCACATAATTGTTCTTTGCTTTAAAACGGACACAGTGTTTTCCTCCGTCGTCTAAGTAGCCCAGGCCGGCCTGGTGCTCATCTTAAGCCGTCCACTGCCACGCTGAGAGCTGAAAGTGCCATGCCTGGTATTTGTCATGTGTGCATGTGTATCTGTGTGGGTGTTGGTGTGCGCGCGCACATACTCGAGCATGAATGTGGAGAGAGGCTGACATTAGAGGACTTCATCGATAGTTCATCACCTTATTTTTTTAATTATTATTTATTTTCTTTTATGTGCATGAATGTCTGGCCTGTATGTATGTGTACCACATGTTTGCCTGGTACTCTCAGAGGTCAGAAGAGGGTGTCAGATCCCCTGGAACTGGAGTAATTGATGGTTGTTGAGGCACCATGTGGGTGCTGGAACCAAACCTAGGTCCTCTGTAAGAGTAACACGTGCTCTTAACCGCTGAGCCACTTCTCAAGTTCCATTTCTACTCTTTTTAGTAAAACTCCGTATGACTTTAGACAAATTAATCTTTTTAATCTTAGATCTCTTTTTCTGTAAATGAGAATGGTGATAATATCAATCTCAGAGGAACTGAAACTAAGAAAAATACACAATCAAGCTCAAAGAGTTCTACATTCATTGAATAGCAATGAAGCATGCTGATTCAGTACCTTCTGGACAATTCCTCTTTGTGTTCTGTTGTTCGCCCAGTGCTTTCCTTTCCTCTTGATGTTACTCTGGCATGCTGCAAACAGCAAACAAAATCACACTTTTAAATTTTAGCACACTAATTATATAAGCGTTGGTTTCTTAATCAGAATATATACCTAAATTTATTCTTTTCATTTTAGTCATTGTAACCTGGTAGGACAGCTTATGAAATTTTGTATATATACTCGAATAACTATGATTTTAGAAGAACATAAAGGAAAACCAGAATTTTAAATGCCAGCCGTAGTTGTAGCAGGCAACTGAAGTTTGAGGGAAGAGGAAAGAAAATATAAAGGAGGGAAGAAAGTAAGAAAAGAAAACTAAGCATTACAAATGTAAGACTTTCTTAAAATCCTTGACTTTAGGATTCTCTTTCTTCCTGTGAGCTAAAAGTAAAAAAAACACAAAACAAAACAAAAAAAAACAAAACATGATGCTGAATGAATTGTTTCCCTTTTAAAGCGATGGTGACAGAGATATGTTTACCCCTGAACTAAAAATATAATCAGCTTTTCAAAAACACTTGTAAAAATCACAAGATGCTTTAAGATATTTAAGAGAATATCATTAGAAATTCCGTATTTAATCATAAATCTTCCCTAAGCAATAGTACTTTGCAGATTTATCCTTGTTAATTTCATTTGATAAAATAGCTTTCTGTTTGTATACTATGTGATTACAGTGTTATAATAGGTAATATTCAATATTGATAAATATTTTGAAGGAACTGACAAGACCCTTTATCAAATAATAATGCCTAACCAATAATGAATAAAAGAATGTTATCCCAGATGGTGGGTGGCACATGCCTTTAATCCCAGCACCCAGGAGGCAAAGGCAGGCAGATCTCTGTGAGTTCAAGGCCAGCCTGGTCTACAGAGCAAATTTCAGGACAGCCAGGGCTAGACACACACACACACACACACACACACACACACACACACACACACACACTGTCTTGAACTCCTCTCTACCAAAAAGAATGTTATATTAATATTTTTATTTATTTGTCTGCCTGTGTGTCTGTATAAGTATATTTTATATATGTTCAAGTGCCCAGAGAGGCCAGAAATGGTCAAGTGGAGCACCTGCAGCTGGAGTTGCAGGCATCTGCGAGGCACCTGACATAGGTGCTGGGAGTTCAGAGTAAACTGAATTCTGACCTCTAGAAGAACAGGAAGTGTTCTTCACTGTGGAGTCATCCCTCTAGCCTCATACTAATTTTTTAATAGAAAAGACATTAAATTAGGTTGAGGATAAGAAATTTTGATTCCATAGTAATAATAATATCTGGTTATGTGAATTAAGTTTTTTAAATCTTCTGTTTATGTCAGCATTTTTATTTATAAAATTAAATGATCTTTAGGTTCCTTTTAAGTACCATAGTACTGGAATACTGAGTAATTTGACAAATAATAAAAAAAATTCATCATCACTTATGTAGAAACACTGACAAATCAGAGAATGGATATTTTCACAATGTATCACCTCCAAACCAAAGATCCTGAAGAGACTATTCCTTTCAAATGATGATACTCTGGGAAATAAAACAAATTAGTGGGGCCAGTGAGATGGCTCAGCAATTAAGAGTGCCTGCTGCCAATTCTGATAACCCGAGTTTGATTTCCGGAGCCCACAGGGTAAAGGGAGAGGATCAGCTTCTCCAAGTTGACCTCTGACTTCCACAATGTAGTGTGGTATATGCATGCACAGACACACACAAATAAATAAATTTTTAATTAATGAAATATATAAATTAATTGTTTGGCTATGGAAATATAATTTTTTCATTGTTTCAGTCTGAAAAAAACTAACATACTGAGAAGTCTAAAAATACTACAAAAGCACTATATACCTTGCACTTACATATTTACTACCTTGAGTGTGCTCTTGTTCAGTTTTGTGAGATCATTTAAAAGCATAACATTTCTATTCCTTAAGATCTAGCATGAATTTTCTTAAAAATATACTACCTTTATAATACTATTAGCATACTTAAGAAAACTTAACAAATCATTATTATCTAATATTCAACCAATCAATTTTCATAGCTCTGTACATCAGGGTGGCCTTGAACTCACAGAGATCTGCTTGTCTATGCCTCCAGGTGTTAGGATGAAAGACCTGTGGCAGGATGAGGGTCAAAATGCTTCTTTTATGTTAAACAAAATACATACATATATAATACATATAACATTATGAATCTGATCAAGGTTTGTTTATTTATTTATTTTTTTGTTTTTTTGAGACAAGCTTGCTTGCTTGCTTTCTCCCTTTTTAGGTTTTTTTGAGACAGGGTTCCTCTGTGTAGCCCTGGCTGGCCTGGAACTCACTTTGTAGACCAGGCAGGACTTGAACTCACAAGAGATTTTCCTGCCTCTGCCTCCTGAGTGCTAGGATTAAAGGCTTGTGCCATGATGCCCAGCCTGATCAAGCCTGATCTGGTTATTGTGTCTCGATTTAGAAGAATCCTCTTTGTAAGAGTCACTATAGAGGCCGGGCAAGTTGACTGACTTTGTAGTATATAGTCACTTCCTGGATTCATGTGAGTAACTCATAATTAGATCTTGGTTAAGCACTTTAATAAGAATGCAATATGTATAATATTGTGTTGTTATTATATCACAACAGACTAGGCATGAGGAGAGGTTATTCCAGTACTAGTGACAGGCTTTTTTTGAACTTCTGATCCTCCTGTCCCTACCTCCTAAATGTAAATGTTCGGATTACAAGCAGATGCCACCATGTCTGGTTTTTATACTGTGTAGAGGACTGAATCCAGGGCTTCTTGGATGTGAGACAAACACTTTACCAACTGAGATATATCAGCAATGCCCGAACACTCAAGTTTCTTATATAAATAATTTCATTTATACAAAATACTTCGATTTTATCAATGTATTATATAAAAACAATGTCAAACCACATAATAGTCAATAAAAGCATGCCCTTTAAATTCTTTAGTTGGGGGCTGGAGAGATGGCTCAGCAGTTAAGAGCACAGGCTGCTCTTCCAGAGGTCCTGAGTTCAATTCCCAGCAACCACGTGATGGCTCACAACCATCTATACTGTGATCTGCTGTCCTCATCTGACATGCAGGAGTACATGCAGACAGAGCACTTGTAAAACAAATCAATCTTTTAAAAAATTTTTTAGTTGGCTCACTGATCACATATTATACTGCCTTCAAAGTTTTTGAAACTGTATATCCCAACCAAGTATTTTAATTTCTTCTTACCTTTTCTATCGGAAAATTTTCATCTTGTTCCCAAATAAAACTACCAATTTTTCTTCGTATTTCTGTAGTGAGAAAAACAAGTCTGATACTTTTTTTAAGGTAATTTCTGGATTTTGCATAGTCTGAACCTTGTAGGCTGTTTATTCTACTTGGATCAAAATAACCTCTTAAGATACTTGTTTAAAACCTAGATTCCTACTGAATCAGAGCATTGAGATGTCTAGGAATTAACATTTCCAATCCACTCTCCAGATGATTCTAGTACCTTAAGAGAACCATTACTGTAGACTTTTTCTTGGTGCATGATGTTTGTGTGTGTTTTTGTTGTGTAAGTGTATGTGGTTACATGCACATGAACATACAGATGTCTGTCTATACTGTGTATAGCATGCAAAGGCCAGGAGAACATTGGGTATCTTCCTCTGGGTCTCTCACTGAACTGGAAAGCTCACTGGTTCAGCTAGGCTGGCTGGCCAGCAAGCTCCTGGGATCTCTGTCCCCATCCCACAACCGCTGGGATTGAAGACACTCAGTGACCATACCTGGCTTTTCATATGGATGCGAGGAATCCAAATTCAGGTCCTTGTGCAGGACAAACTCTCTTACCCACTGAGACACTTCCCTGCCCTTTGTCTACTAGTGCATATTACCTCATTAGTGTCTCTATTGTGTGTCCACATTATGCCAAGTGTAATAAACAAGACAACTGTCACAATAAAATGCATGAAATTGTTGTATGCATAGAGCTGAGGTTCTCAAGAATTAATTTATTTTACTAAAAAGTAGATAAACAATATGTTTAATAGACAGGCATCCTATAAAATTCAGTATAGCCAATACATCTTAATATATCTCAAAATTTTCTGCAACAGCCCACTGGAGGAGAAAAAGGGTCTAATTACACCAGACTTTTGCTGACCAATACAGTATCTGACTAAGTATGCATACTTAGTCAGATTGAGATGTGTAAAATAAGCACTGGATTTTGAATATTTGGTATCAGGAAGAATGCAAAGTATTTTAACAATTTTTGGCTTGATTACATGTTGAAATGATAATCTTTTCAATGTTAGGTTAAATAAAATATATTTTGTTTTTGTTTCTGAAGAAAGGGTTTCTCTGCGTAACAGCCCTAGCTCTCCTGGAACTCACTTTGTAGACCAGGCTGTCCTCAAACTCACAGAAATCCACCTGCTTCTGCCTCCCGAGTGCTGGGATTAAAGGTGTGTGCCACCATGCCCAGCCAATAGAATATATTCTTAAAATTAAAGTTTTGCCTATTTCTTTTTAATATGCTTTTAAATACATATACTTCACAGTGGCGTCTTACACACCTACTAGGCCATACTGCTCTAAGTAGAGAAGTATGCTATTATGGTTTGAAAGAGAATGGTCCCCACAGGCTCAGGTTTGAATGTTTGGTCCCCAGTTGGAGGAACTGTTTGGAATAGATCCTTGTTGGAGGAAGTATGTAACTAGCAATGAATCTGAAGTTTCAAAAGGCTGTGCCATTCCCAGTGTTCTTTGCTTCCTGTTTGTGGATCCAGATGTGAGTGCTCCAGTGCCATCTGCCTATGATAGCGCCAGGCTCCTATCCCTTTGCAACTACAAGCCCCAAATAAACCCTTCCTTCTATTGGTTGCCTTGGTCATGGTATTTTACCATAGTAATAGAAAAGTGACTAAGACAGAAGTATACCTTTAAAAAAAAAAAAAAAAAAAGGAACATGTTTTCATTTCAAACAGATTTTTTAAAATATTTAAATATATGTTTATGGAAGATTCTAAACTCAAGGATAAAATAAAAGTGATAATTTTAAATAAGGTTAATGAATCAGATAGTCATCTATAATACAAGCTCCTTGAAGGAAGGTTTTTGATGCACATGGTTTTTGAAGGGAGTTTAAGGCCAGCTGAAGCTACACAGCAAAAACTTGTCTCAAAAAAAAAAAAAAAAAAGGTTTTGGGGCATGATGGTACATATCTATAATCCTGACACTCAGAAGGCTGAGTCAAGAGAATGGCCATGAATTTGAGGCTAGCCTTGGCTAACGGGACACTATCTCAAAAATTAAAAAGAAAGAGGTTTAGATAGGAAGGGAGGGAGAGGAATAAAGATATGGTTATTTAGATATGGTTATTTTTAACAAATCAATTTTACCACAGGCTGTTCATTTATTTGTAAAACCATTTAAACAATTCAGTGTTATAACTAGATTTTTCTGGAACAGTAGTTATAAGAAACCAATCTTTGAGGTTTCTAAGTGTTCTTCTATGAAAATAACTAAGTTTTTTGTTTGTTCTGCTCTGTTTTTACTATTTTCCTCACTGGAAATCTGTAAACGGTGTAAACAGTTTGTCTTTCTAGAAATGGACTTGGAACTATGGGATGAGCAAAATCCTCATCAAGAACTGCCCTACCAGAAGACCCTGGTTCAATTCGAGCACCCTCATTGGCTCACAACTGTTGGTAACTCCGTTTCCTGGGGATCTGATGCCCTCTTCTGGAGAGCATGGGTACCAGGCACCACTGTATTACACAGACATACATGCCGGTAAACACACACATTCAAAAACAAAATTAAAATGAGATACATAAGGAAGGCTAGGCAGATAACCTAGCCTAAGCTTTGAAAAAACAAGATAACATGTTCCAAGCAGGGAAAACTGAAAGAACCAGTCTCAAAGCAGTTTCCTTACTTTTCCTTCTCTCTTCATAAGGTTGATGAAATAATGTGAAAGTACTTACAAAAGTATAAAGAAAAGTACAAATATTTGAGTTTATTATTATAACAAATATTTAAAGAAAAATTAGAATGAAGAGAGTCAACACTAGCAAATAAATTTATTACTCACCATATGTCATATACCTTAATCTATTGCTTCATTTTATCCTCAAAATCACTTGGAAGAAACCAATAGCATGTTAGCTCACAAAGCCCAAAAGTGGCTCTGTGTGAGTTTGAGGCCAGCCTGGTTTATATAGTAGGTTCCAGGCCAACCAGGGCTACACAGTAAGACCACGCCTTAAACAAACAAATAAAAAAAAAATAAACAAATAAGTGTTGGATCCTAGCTGGTGAGCACTTTACTTTGAGGGTACTGACTCTGTCTTAGTCACCACTGAACTCCCAGCTCCTGGGCTGTCACCTGGCAAACAAAGGAAGCTTAAGGAAGGAAGCCAAACTCTTCACTCAGGTTATCTGATTCCAAGACCAGATTTGTTTTACCTATATTAAATGATTCAAAAATCTCTGTAGGCATAGTGGCTCACACCAGCACTCAGGAGACTGGGATACAGAGTGAGACTTTGTCAAAAATAAAAACAAACAAGCAAACAAAAACCAAAGGGGTAAAAGTCAAACCACAAAATTTCCAATAGAAAATAGAGATTGGGTAAAATTAAATTTGGCTATCTTAATGGGGATTGGCTGGATTTGGCAAACAGATGGGTTTATGATTTTTGCTAACCTTTTTGCAGACATGCAGGAGGAAGAACAAAAAAGCCTATGGACACTGCGTTTTCCACTTCGGTATTAGCTACTGCTGAGAGATAGGAGGCATGAAAAACTGTAGCATTATCTTCTATGTACTGGAGGCTCTGATATATTCTAGAAGAAAGGAAATCCCCTAGGTTAAGAAATAAACAAGAATGCATTCAACCTTTCAAAAGGAAAACAAATGGCTGCAAGCAGGAGACTGTTGACACTGAAGAATATGATGTATTCTTTTTCAATGTATTCTTTTTTGTATTCTTTAATATTTATGATGTATCCTTTTTTTTTTTTTCCTGGCAAAAAAAAATGAATAAATTTCAAGTACAAGACATTACTCAATTTGGAGACCTACGTGCAGGCAAATCTTAGCTTTAGAGTTGCTAAATGATTATACGTATTTAGAAAAGATCGAAGACTATCAACAGTGGACTAAAAGACAGTAGCCTAATGAGTTTCACTCATGGTCACTGCCATTAAGAGAAATCAGTTGATTCTGAGGTAAACAGTGGTCATGCAGTCAGAGAAGCCTTCACATACAGAAAACATTTAGGCCTGTGAAGAGAGAGAGAAGGAAGGCATTAGAGGAAAAAAGACAGACATGAAGGAATGGTAATGACGCCGAAGGCTGACTAGTCTACGAAAGGCATGGAAAGCTGAAGAAGCCTTAGCTAAGTAGGTAGTGGGGGCAGGGCAGAAGCAGATCTCTGCTCAGTGAGCACCTGATAATGAAGGGAGATGGCAGAGCACAGACGGAGGCAGGCTAATCTCTTAGGAAGTCCTGTGGCAGTCCTGGCATGGGGTGATTCATAAAGCAGCAGCAATGAGGATAAAGTACTGTTACCAGGGCCTGTTCCACGGTATTAGCTACCTATTTATTTATGATTAACAGGGCTTGCTGGTTAAGAGGCCAGAAAGCCCAGACTGTTGACACATGCCCGAAATCCCAGCACTTGGTATGCTATAAGACAGGAAGGGCACGAGGTCCAAGGCTAACTAACCTAGGCTACATTGCAAGATCCTGCCTCGGAGAAAATAGACGAAAAAAAAAGTGTGTGTGATGGGGGGGGGGGGGGGTATTCAGAATGCAGGACATACTCTTGTGTTTTGGTAAAATCTGAGTGGGACACAGGAATAGGGACCTACAAGACAGCCTATGGCTGTCCACGTGACAGCCGGACACTCAAAACCGGGGTTCCGTTAGAGCCCCGAGGGACAGGTGACAGAGCAGGGCGGAAGGATGGGGGCATGTCTAGGGCTGCGAACGCGCTGTTCCTCAGTGTCGGTCACTTCCACCCGTGCCTCCAACGCACGATGACAGGAGGGGCGCTGGCGGGCGGCCCCGGGGTACCTCAGCGTGTCCGGGTGCGCAGCATCACAGCTGAACAGGAAGTCGGCGGCCTGGGCGTCGCTGAGCTCCCCGCCCTGGTCCACTGTGGAGGCAAGGGCACGCGTGAGCGCGGAGCCGGAGGGGGCTTCCACAGGAAGATGCCCTCCCTCCTGCCCGGCCCATCTCCCTACCCCAGAACTGCCTCAGGTCCTGACTGACACTGCGGCAGAACCAACCACGCTGCCCCCGGAACATGGTACCGCCTGCCGCCGGGCTCCTGGGCGGGGCTGGGAGACGAGGCCGCTGATTGGTCCAGAGCCAAGCTTGCCGATTGGTCCTCAGAAGGAAAGGGCGGGAAAGGCCCCAGGAAGCGGGCGAAGAGACGCTAACAGCGTAATTGACGGAATAGCTGAGGGGACGGAGTACCTGCACCTGGTAGGTTTTAAATCCCGAGAAATAATATGGAAATTTTGTTTCTTTTTTAGACAGTTTATTCGTATAATACAGATGACTTGAACCTTTCTGTGAGGTGGCGTGCTCACGCACTGAGGGAATTACAGACTGGCCTACAGTCAAGAAGAGGACATTGAACTGGAGCGAGAGGCCGTTGTGAGGCAAGGAGCTAGAAATTGAACGTGGGTCCTCCGACATAGTGGTGCTCTTCAATCCCGAGCCATTGCTCCAACCCTAAGAATTATTTTTAAATGTACTGATGATATCATTTTGTTTGTACAAATTTATTTGGGAAGTGTTTCTCTGTGTGTGTGTGTGTGTGTGTGTGTGTGTAGGCCAGAGAAGCTGGTTCTTTACTTGGTAGGTTCCAGGGGTTGAACTTGGATAGTCAGGCTTTAAATCAGCTGAACCATCTTACCATATTTTTTGTCATTTTGAGACAGCCTTTTGTAACCTAAACAGGCCTTGAACTTCAACTGAATATGGCCTTGAATTTCTAGTTCTCCTGCCTCCACCTTTAGAGTGCTGCGATCACAGACCTATGTCACCATGTCTAGTTTACATTTTGTTTTTTTGAGACAGGGTTTCTTTGTGTAGCCTTGGCTGTTCTGGACTCGATTTGTAGACCAGGCTGTCCTCAAACTCTCAGAGATCCTCCTGCCTCTGCCTTCCCAAGTGCTGGGATACAGGTGTGTGCCACCGTGCTAGGCATGGCTTACATATTGTTGAGGACAGAACCCATTGAAGAGGCCGCAGAGTAGGCTCAGAACACACCCAGACGCCAAATTCGCAGCACAAAGAAGATTTTATTAACTGCCACTTGTGGAGTTGGGGGAGCGGGGTGTCTCTGGATTGGGCAAAGACAGTAGCAGGTTTCTCTCACTCAGAAATGATTTTTAAAGTGCTAGGATGAGTTGTTAAATCCTGATTGGACATATTAATTGGTATAGCCAAATGAATTTTGATAGCTGGACCTTGGTGGTCAGTCTCAGGAATGAGTCTGGCATAAGGAGGTGGCCAAATAAAAGAATGGACCTTGGTGGCTAGCTTTAGGAATGTGGAAATGCCTATATAAGAGTCCAGTGGTTTAGCAAGGGAAAAGGAAGGAGGAAGGGCAAGGTCTTCGGAGGCCATGTTTGCCGTGCTTGGGCCTGGTAGGTGCCTTTACCCAGGGTTTTGTGTATGCCAGGTAAGCACTTTACCAATTCTTAAACTAAAATTCTTAAACTAATTCTTAAACTAAAAAACTGGCCAGACTGGGAATGTAACTCATTGGTAGAGTGCCGTGCAAGGCCTGGGTTCATTTTCCAGGATTGTAAAATAAACAAATAAGGAGGGGAAGGATGAGAAAGGAAGGGGGAAAAAAATGAGTTTTCATCCTTCCTCTTAAACTGAGTGTCGCAGTTTTGAGATGTAATTTTGTATTATTGTTCAGTTCAAGCTATTCTCAGATTTCAGTATAACATTTTGTAAAGAGGGTTATTTAAATTTTTTTAAAGAGGTACTCGATATGATTTACAGGCTGACCTCAGACTTGTGATCCTATGCCTCGACCCCCAAATGTGAAGATTACAGACCACACAGCCATATACACTGATATGTTTTTATTTAAAATTTTTCAAATGAGTACGATTTTCTGATTCTAAATATGTATGGCTTAGCTGCATGAATATAAAATACTGATCTGTTTGGCCAAATCTTTTGAAGTTAGCATTTTCTTTATAATGGAAGTATATGGGCAGTAAGGTTATATCTTTAAAACGAATGCCCCGAAACTCTCAGATGTTTAGAATGTTCAGTGTTCTATATATGTTCGTTGGTTCAAATTACTCATATTGTCTGATTCCCTGATGATTAGTAGGGAAGCCATATAAAAATGTTATGGATCTATCAATTCTTAATATGTCTGTTAAATTTTTGTGTATTTTTAATTAGACACATACAAAACTCACACTTGTTATTTTCTACTTGTTTGAACCATTGAGCACTTAAACATGAATGGCAAAACCTCCAGACACATAGAACACCAGAGAATATTTTTGGCCCCAGGCAAAGGGTTGTTTGTTTGTTTTTTTTTTTTAATTGAGACATAGCATTAAACATGACAGAAAAAATTACACAAATTTGACTCCATTAAACTTCTCTTCATCAAAATCATAATAATTAGGGTGAATATACACAAAGTCACAAAACGGGGAAGGTACCTGTATCGTAAATAATCAACAAAAGATTAGTACCCAGGATATATATTTAAGTAGCCCTATGAAACAATAAGAGAGAAATGACCTAATTAGGAACTTCAGCAGACATCTGAATAGACTTTTCTGTAAAAGACCCACAAATGGCCAATAAACACATGAAAAGATGCCTAATCACATGGTAGTTAGGGAAATTAAAACCACAATGATACAACAGTATGTCCCTTGCTAATAAAAAGTGTTTGGCAAAGAACATCACAGGAATTCCTTCTCCTGCTTTGATCAACAGGTCAGCGTTACTTAAAGCTATGTGTCTGATGTCCCCCAGCATTCATCACATACACTCTTAAGGAAGCCCTTACCCCCGTGTACACATACAGTGGACCACAGAAGACTGTTTATGCCACATATGACTGTTTATGGCAGCTTAATTGCTTAGAGCAACAATAACAGAAAGGAAAAGAGGAAACAGTCACTGCACACCGGGTAATTAATTTACTACCTCTCCTTTACATTTACTTCTTAATTTGAAGGGTGACATGGCTTGCATGTGGAGGTCAGAGGACAACTTAAGGGAGTCAGTTCTGTCCTTCCATGTGAGTCCTAGGGATCAAATCCGGTCATCAGGCTGCCTTTATCTACTAAGACCCAGAATTGCTAGTGGAGTTTTTTACATGACGAAATACAATATTTCTCCTTATGCACAGGGGATGCTTTTCAGCATCCCGAGGGGATGCTAGCAGCCTTGACCCTATATATATATGCAGTTCTTGACCCTGTATATACTATACTGCTTTCCACCACTATACATAGATCGCTACGACAATTTAATTTATAAATGAGGGAAGAGGTTGACAGCTAATAATAAAATGGAACAGTTATAAGAATATATTGAACAAAAGTTAATGTGTTTTCTCTCAACTACCAAGACACCTATGTTCACGTCAATGCGTACACTGTGGATATGCTACTCTATCTCAAGTGGAAGAGGCAGAAGGGCATAAGATTTTATCACACAACTCGGAACTACAGATTTTATTTACTCACTTGTTTATTTAGTGCTGGGGATTGAACCCAGAACCTCATATATGATAAGCAAATGCTCTACCGCTGAGTTATACCTCCAATGCTCAGAAACACAATTTTAAATTAATGTGTCATTTACGTTTGGAATTTCCCGTTGATGTTTTTAGACTACAGATGACTATAGGTAATTGTAGCTGTGAAACATTAAACCATGGAGAAGGGAAGGAATACTAGTACATCATAATTTGAATTTTCAAAAAGCCCGGGAAGACAAACAACATGATACCATTTATTTTCAAGTTCAAAAGAAGTGGTAAAATGAAGATACATATTTTAAGAATACATGAATATTTAATAAAAATTAAAATATACATGTATAGGAAAACCAGCTACAGTTTATATTTTTAAAAGAATTCTTCTATAAAACATATTATTTATGTATTCTTTATTGGTATGTGCGTGTGCCTGAGTATGCGTACCACACGTGTTCAGGAACCTGACGAAGTCAAAAGAAAGCATCAGATCCCCTGAAACTGAAAGTACAGGTGGTTATAAGCAGCCCTGTGAGGTTCTCTGCAAGAGCAGTAAGTGCTCTTAACTGCTGAGCCATCTCTCCAGCCCTGTATCTATGTTTCTATACAAAGCATAGGGTACCAAATACTTGAAGACTAAAAGAAGCACACAGGAGCCGCCAATGTTTCATTACTGTTGGGTTCTGAAGCTTAGTATTTTTTATTAGCATTCTCAGAAAACCTCTACATATCTATCACCTGCTTTCATTATTGTGTATTTTTAGTATTTTTAAAAATAATTAAGAAGAATATGTTAGTTGATAGGGGACAACAAAGTTCCAGGCTCAAAATGCATCCTCGAAACATTCTGGTTGAAGTGAAGTTGTTAGACAACATACGAAGGAGCTGGACAAATGGCTCAGTGGTTAAGAGCATTTACTGCTCTGTCAGAGGACCCAAGTTTGGTTCCAGCAGCCACATCAGGCAGTTCACAACCACTTATAACTCCACAGGCACCTGCATCCATGTGGCAAATACTCAGATACACATGCATATACATTAAGTGAAAAAATAAGATATTTTGTTTAAAAATACTAAGTTTTAAATGCAGCCTTTTAATCACATCACAGTAGTTACCAAAGTCATCTATTATAAATGTATACATGTTGTATATAAAAGCAGTTTTAGAAAGGGAATCCCAAGGAGAGGAACTAGGGCCATTTTATCAAGAGTACTGTGGATTTTGAGAACTCTAGACCTAGAAAGAAGGAACAAGCTAGAGAGTGAACTTATTGAAGAGAGTAGGATGAAAAATACTGTTAATTAAAATGTGGACAAGGCTTATGAAAAAGGACAGATTCAAAAGCAGGTGAAAATATGGCTATATCTTAATGTAGGAGAAACAGATAACTCTCACTAAAAAGGCAGGAAAAAATAACTGAGAGGATGAAAAGGAACCAAAGATTTGCTAGACTGAAAAGTGGTTGAGAGACTGCCAGAAGACAAGATTATAACTTATTCAGGTCATTTTCTGCTTTAAGTCTCTGAAGCAAATTTTCAAATTTAT